CATTGCTCAGGGCACCCACAACAAATGTCCTAATAGTCGCTATTAAGCTGCCTTCAGATGATGATAAATAATTTGCTCTTCACTCACCGTGAGGTAGGACACAGTGGAGTTAACTTTAGCATTGGATTTGGCAAAGTTTCCCAATTACGCTTCCAAGCAAGATAGTGTTATGTTTAGAGTTCTAGTTCTTCCATCACTCTCTACCTCCCCTGCTTGCATGTGTCACTAATGTCACATACAGCTGTTATCTCATTGGTTGCACTTTGAAAGGCCCATGGCAACCAAGGTCAAAGATGAAATATTTTGAACTTTGAGCAAAGAGCTTGGTGGTAATTTCAAGCGGCCCTCAACACTAAGTGTAGCGCTTCCACCTAGTTGGGCGCCACCTCATAGGGTGATGCACTCCAGCACAGAGTGGTTTTACCGCTGATCATGTGTAGGCACCTTTGTTGTATAAACTGTAAACATCTTTGCAGGCATAATTAGTTCTTTGCAGATTCTGCTAATGATTTGTTAGCTTAGAAAAAAAAGTTTGTATCTCATTATAAAATCACAGGCAGATAAATACCATTACAAAGACAGACTTTTACATTCTTGAAACTGATGGTGGTTTTTTGTTTGTTATTATGGTGAGATCTTTCATCAGACATACAAATAGATCGACTGACAGACAGGCAGATACATACCGTTCACACAGATGAGTGTAAACAATGAATTGTGGATGGCACAGAAAACACTGAACACATCTGGTATATGTGCTCTTCTTATTTAATTTTTATAGGAGTAACCACATTCCACTACCATTTAGACACCAATTTGATGATCAGGCATGTGGTTAGGGAACAGTAAAAAAAAAAAAGGATAAAGAACAGCAGAAGAGCAGCTTGCTTCTGTCAGGCTCATACAATAAATCCAACCAGAAAAACCTCTTTTGCTTTTCTCAAAACACAACTGATCATAATAAACTGCAGAATAAGAAGTTCTGAAAACAAAACATATGCACTTAGTACATACTTTGTACATACTTTGCAAACTTTTTTCCAAATTTGTTGTTGAAAAGTGAGAGTGAAACGGTAACATAGACTATAGGTCACATCTAAAACGGGTTATTGGCACCAGGGTGACATAGACAAACCTACATGTCCCACTGTTTCAGAGATTCTGTCCACTGGTATATTTTTCCATATATATAATCATTTATATATTACCTAGTACATATTTCACCAAGGTTCAGTACGGTGTAATGTTGAAATATATTATGATGTGGGTAGTCAACAATTCACTCATTGAAATTCAGAGTCTGTGATAGAGGTTGCGCTTATTCTCCCCTAACATGATTAATCTATAATGTTACCTCAGGCTGTGTATTTGGAAGCGAGAGTCTTGCTTATTCACCTCTAGTGCTGCAGACACTTTTTGCCATTCCCTGCACATTTCTGCTCGACATGAATGGATTTTCATCTTGTCTGAGATTTAACCCTCCTCCAAATTGGTGCAGGGGCTTCATATAACAACATCCACAACCACAATTGGAAGGATGGGGCCAACTGCACAGCAACAGACTCTTCAGTCAACTCATAACATTAAGTGCCATCTCTTGCTTTTTCTACTATGAATGTAGTAAGCCAACCATTTTATAAATATGCTACCTACTGTACTTCTGTTGTTGTGGCACACTGGTGGTGCTCTCAGTGCATTCCTCACTGGTAATACTAAGTGACATTAACATACTATATGTATGCCGGACAACTGCTGCAGTAACTAGTCTAATTATGTTGACTTGCAGTACATTTGACTGTATGCTGCTGGCTCCGCCCGGTTCTCTAGACCCTGGATATGTTAGGCTAAAGGCTAATGAAGTGATTAAAGTCTTGCGACTTCTTATACAGCACCTCACTAGTTATCAGATCATGGCTCCATGTGGAAGGATAGGAGCAAACACAATAGTCAGAGTTTGTAATAATGAGTTTCCGCGTATGAATGAATAGAACATCATTAAATAGATTTCTCCTCTTGGAGTCAAAAGCAGATACAGTGAATATACAATAGCACTAATAATATACTAATCAGTGAAGACAGAGACCAGCTACACCGGAGCAAAACATGTGTATTACACTGTAAACAACAATCATTTCACAGGCAGCCATGTGCACTGCCCCAAGCCATGCATAAGAATATAATCTAAGATTAAATTGAGAGATGGGACTCATCAGAAGGAACCGAGGACAAAGAACATAAAGACTCTATAGAAACAATTAATTATATGTATGTATGTAGGCTTTTGGTTAGGAAAGCATAGTATTTGGGATGAAGTTAGAAAAATTTGTTTATCAAAGAAGAAAGGGCCAATAATGGTAAGAGGTCACTGTATAGTGGTACTTATCTATTCATAAACTTTTGGGATTTTTTACTTCTGCATGTCACAGCTCCTCTTCATCTAAATTAACTTTTTGGTCTTGTTCCAAAATGGAGGAGAAAAACTCTCTTTCCTTTTCACTTCATTGCTCACAGCCATAAACATTAATGACTCAGGTTTGTGTGACAATGAAATTCCACCTTCATTGCTGAGAGCAGGCGTGACCTACCCGCCAATGTCTCGGTGACTGTTTTCAGCATTTTCGCGACTAACTTATGTTGACACCCATGGAGATGCATGGTGTATGCTCCACAACTGGAATTGAAGGAACAAAACACTGACAGATGCCAACGTATTTGAAATTTGAAAAAGATATTCATTAGGGGATTTTTGGACCAAAAAAAACAGGTGTGAATCAACTGCATAATGAACCCAAAAATGGGTGATTATTCATTGGCTGGCCTACTTTCATATTGCATCTATTTACTAATGCATGGAACTCGCCTATGACACAAAACACAAAGTGCTATTCACTCAAATGTCTTTTAAATACCTCTCTATATGCAGAGAATAAATATTAGAAGACTTGCATTACTTTCAACATGAATATCTGATATATGATAATGGCAACGGAATAAAATAGCAAGACTTACCACTTATACTTACACATCCTTACTATGTTGAGCCTCAGCTTGTTCAGTCACAGCTCATCTGTGAACCATAAACAAAACTTGATACAATATGTATGTTGCCTGCTGAATCATACAGATATCCCTGGTATTAATGTCATATCCATTACATTCTTGGAATTGTTATTGTTGTTGATCATGACGATTTAGAACACAAAAATGTTCTTTCTTTTTTCATTATTTAACATCTTAGTTGCATAAAACATGTAAATGTATTGGACAGCTTCATTGCAGCCTTTAGGTAGCAGTCAGATTAAACTCATTTATTATTTTTATGCAGATTTTGCGCAATATGCACAACATGTATTACTCCCCCCAACAGGAAGAGAGAGGAAGAGATAAATGGCAGATTTACCTCACATACAGTCATAATAAACACAAGAACACTCAAAGAATTAAGCCTTTTTAAGATCCATGCGAATTGCCAGTTAAGTCGGCAGTTAAAATGAATCATTTTTGATTAAATGTCAGCAACATATTGCTTCATAGATCAATGAAATTAAGATATTTTATACCTCTGCCTGGATGTGAAAAATTGTTTGATATTTTGAAAGCCTGCCTGCTGAAAACTCAAATCTCAAGTTAATCTTTCTGTTTTGATCCCTTTGGAGTAAGTGTAGATTGATCTAGTGTGTTAAGGGAACTGTAATTGGGATCAAAGGGCAATAATTCATTTTTGCAGTATGTTCCATTGCTTTTTTGTCAAAGCTATTGCTCCATGACATATGGCACTGGTATGTGGGTTAGCATTTACCAAATATTCAGACATTAAAATCTAATGTTGTGTTGCACATTTTTACAGTGCGAAGGACACAGTTTGTTCTCAAAACCAGATTTCAGAAATCGTTATGAAAGGATGGAAACATTTTGCGCAACCACAGCTGCAGTATCCACAAGTGGCCAGAAGGCGAAGTGTGTGGTTTTACTTCGGAGGCACAGATGTTTATTCTTCGGCTGCAATGAAAAACAGATGAGCACCATGATACAGAACATGTGAGACTTTGACATGAGAATGATGTGGGTTTATTTAGTTTTGTCTCTGAAAGAAAGAATTGGGCTGCAGTGTGAGTAAAGCATTATTTTCCCATTTTGTGATTTGCTTTTGAGGTTTAAATTAGTCCCTGGAACGATATAAACATACATGGAGATATTTAGCAGACTGTGAGATCGTTGACTCTGTTTGCTCTACAGGTGCCTTTTTTTTCTTGGACATGTGCAGTTTAGTGAAGGAGCTGTCCACTACCGGTGGTGCTGAAAGTTTTGCGCAGCGCCTCTGACAGACTTAACCAAACAATTAAGAGATATTTCCGTTTTTATATCAGTCACGAGAAATATCCTTTAATTGTAAGATTATGCCCATCTAGAAACTCCGTCTCTTACACGACTTCTCCCTCTTCTTCACAGCTCTGCACACGGCTGGCATTGCTCAAACATTGTGAGGCGTGTAACTGCACCCGGTAGTCTGATTCACGAAAAACAGCCAGTCCTTGAAATTAGCCCCACTGCTATAATCCCGCGATGAAAAAAATCCGATGGTGGCAATTTTTGCTGTAGCAACAATTATTTAATCAAACAGATCATGCAGCTATAATAAAAACATAAAGCTATTTTGTGTTTGTGCCTCTACAAAATGCTCCTCCGGTAACGCCATCCAGCTGCTCCCCGGTTGACTCAGGCGTTTTGTCTTCTGTCACGTCTGTCCCTCATCCATCAGCCCTTGCCGAGGAACACGGTGTGTAAATCCTTTTCTCTGCCACATCAGCTGCGCTCCGACGCCACTTCAGTACGCTGAAAATCTGCCTCAGCCGCTCTGCTCCCTCACATCGTCCCTGAAAAGCCAACTTCTCCAAAAGTAAACTGTTTACACCGCCGTTGACTTTTCATCTCTCGAGCCAATCTGTGTTTTGCGCATGAGCTTTTGTCACTCGATCATTTGGCTTTCTTTTCAACAATGCCGTGCGTACAGGCAGAGAAGATATTTTGCTTTTGCCTCTTGCAACCTCCAATCATGTGTTTAGACATCAGCTCTCCAAGCGTCTTTCTCCGGCTAGTCCAAATCATTTCTACCCGGCTTGTCGGGACAGCAGCCGAGTCGTGAAGTCTCTACAGTCACGTGATCGAAAAGGACTGAAGAGTGTGTAGTTTTTTTTTTCTCCCGGAGTGTGTATGTGAGCGTCTCTCCGTGTGTAGTTAGAGGGATGTCCCTCCTCCGCATTTTTTGCTGCTTGCCATGCTTTAGACGCTGGAGCGCAGGGAGAGAGGCGAGAGTGAGAGAGGTAACGCCGGTCTCTCTCACCCGGCTACCTATCTTTTCAGTCTTACCTCGGATCCCCATCGGTTTTTCCTCATCTTTTTGAGTCCACCTTCCTGCGGTCAGCTTGTTTTTGTTGGTTCAAAAAAGAAAAAAAGATAGAGGGGAAAAAAACAGTGTTAATTTTTGTCGGGTTTCCTGTGTGTACCGCGGTTCTGTTTTGCACTGGGTTTTGATCGCTTTTTTTCTTTGGGTGCTCCATTTGGACAGTATAGGACAGCCGAGCAGAGCTTGGATGAGCCGCCTCGCTGAAATCCCGAGATGGAGTTGCTGCTGATCTGCCTTTCCTTGTGGATATTGCAATGCAATTCTGCCAAAGCGGACTCCATCATACATATCGGTAAGCGTCCGATGGGTTAGACGGGTGTAAAACGCAAAGCATGAGGGGATAAAGCTCAGCCAGCGCATACTGCGTGGATCACAGGATTTTGGTGTGAGGGCGGGATAAATAGTCTATGCATCCTGTGTTTAAGCAACACTTTGACTCTTGAAAAGTTGGCGTTTGGTAAATGGCCATGCCTCTGACCTTTACTGCCAGAGCTATTTTGATGTTATTAATTCCTATTTTTTTTATTCATTTGCCCATTTTTTGCAGACCTTTCTTGCACTTTTCGACGGCAGATCACTGCATTCATGTTGGCTTCAGATCTAAATCTCACCACTGCCGGCCTGTAAATTGCAATTCTGTATTCAAAACACGGATTACAGTAAGCAGAAATGCCCGTATTGTTGAGGCTTTGACGAAATGAATGTCCAATAGCCAAATGGCTGAGGCTTTTTCAGACCAAGCTACCTCTTGTCTGTACCCGACAAGCCTCAACTTTCACCGGAACGTGACTGCAATGTCAATAACAAGACAGAGGGAATGTCAGTGGAGTTTCATTTTAGAGATGCAAAGCACATAGAGCCTCTTTGTTCTCAAACTTCAAACCAGAGCTGCCAGTCCGATCTGGTGTCCTTAAAAATCGCATTGCATGTCATTTTACGGTTTTGAAATACATAGGTTTAACAATCCCCCCCCACACCCCCCACATCCCCCTCCCACACACACACACACACACACTCAAACACTGAAGAAATGCCTTGGTTTGTGTGCCCCTTTCTTGCACCTTGTCATGATAGGAATGACTGCCGTTGGAATCTCAGATAAAAATGTCAATGTCACTGTGAGCTAATTTCATCTTACTGCTCCTCTGATGCTGCTGCTGCTGCTGCTGCTGCTGCTGGTGGTGGTACTCACAGTTTACTGCAACAGTCTGGCAAGCAGCAGGTGCTCAGTCACCGGCTTAATACAGAAGTAGGACTCCATCCAGATAATGTTGGCTGCTGCGCCGCTTAACATTAGGGTACCCCAATTGTACTTCTCATTTCCTGAAACCCTTTTCCGTGATATACATGCATTTCGCAATAGCAGCTGATGCCATTTTGATAAGCAGAGGAAGAGAGAGGGAAGGGGAGAGACAGTTGAGGTTCAGGATGCCTCCCACACTAGGCCTATAATGCTTATTGGGTAGGATGCCAATGATCTAGTAGATGTGACAGCCATTTGTTTTCTAGGTTTGGTTACTTTATGCGTCAGATAGTGTTTTGTGATGTGGCCATGTCGCTGTCCATGGTGCTGAAATCTTGTTAAGGCATGCTGAGATGCACATGTTGCACAATTTCAAAGCTAATTAAACCACAGGAAGCTCAAACTAAAGTTCACCTACCATTATTGAATCATGCATCACTTTGGCAACATTTGGAGAATAACACTAAAATGCTTCTATTTTTTCTGTAATAGCAATGGTCCAGCATAAAAGTTGCAACTCCTCAACCCACTCTACCCGGCAATCATACTTTACCTCCTCGCATTTTTTTTACTCCCCAAATAACTTGTGATAATTCTTTTATTCAACAGGTGCCATATTTGAGGAAAATGCTGTGAGAGATGACGAGATTTTCCAACTTGCCATTTCAGACCTGAGTCTGAATGACGACATTCTGCAGAGTGAGAAAATCACCCACTCTGTAAAACTTATTGAGCCTAACAACCCCTTCCAGGCTGTACAGGAAGGTAAGCACAAGTCCCCCATCTCTCATTTTGGTAATAGATTACACCTGATATTTTATTTGATTACTTGGGGCCAGGGGGCAGTTCAGAGAAGCGGTCTCCTTGTCTGCCCTGATCTCGCAGGATTTTTGGACGATGAGCTATTGTTGATGTTAATTTCACATGTTGATCAGTCATTGTGGTCGCTAGGGAAGCAGTCTCTGATGATGACCCTTGTGGCTGTGAGTGAAGTGTGTGTGTGTGTGTGTGTGCGTGTGTGTGTGTGTGTGTTGCCATCTGCATAGCGCTGTGCCACTGTACCAAAGGTGTCTTCTGTGGTTGAAAAGCTAGGTGGAAGCATTGAGTTAGAGCACAGCAGCTAAGGATAAAAAGTTATGTGAAATAAAAATAACTTGAAGATGATCAAATATAATTCCAGCTCCAATACTGCACTTATGTAATTGCAGGAGAGGAAAATCTCAGGTTTTTATGTCTCTTTGAAGGATGAGCACCGCAATTTTGTTCATGCACATTTTTCAGCCTTCAGCTTTTTTCTTAAATATGTTTTGTCTGCCTAATTTGGATATCCTGTAAGTGCCCAGAATGTAAGCAACACACCTCAATAAAACATTATCAATAAAATTATTTTAGTCAAGGTTATCTCTTTCAGTAACCGAAAGGTGGTCCCGTCCACTGTTGAATGCAAAAGTGATTAAAAATTATTCGTCTAAAATGAATCATTAAGATTTTAATAGGTTCATAGGGGCCTTCAAAGGCTGCTTTTATCCTGTGCACTTAGTTACCAGCCTGTACTTTTGTCCCCAGTTGCACAAAGGCCTTGATGACTCATTGCTGTTCATAGTGCCCCTGACAGGCACAGAAAGATGATAAAATGTCCTGCCTTTTGCTACAATTATCCCATGCCGTTTAGCTGTGGTCCTTAACAATGTCTTAGGCAGATATCTAGTATTCAAATTCACTTTGCTTTTGTGTTGAGTTTCCCCTCGCGGGATTAAATAAAAGTATATCTTAGATCCTTGTGAGGCTGAGGATGACGCAGACTGACATTCGGGTTCTTTAAATAAACCTGAAGTATACAGAAGAGGTGGTCTAACTTGCTGCTGCAGAGATAAGATAAAAAATGTATTACACACATGCGTGACTCAGATCATTTATCAGTCACTGTTGCTTTAGATGAAAAAGTGCTGTAATTAAACCGACTTGCCAGAAAATTCATTTGCCAATTTTGCAGTACTCTCATTAGTTCAGTAGTATAGTCAAAGATGGAGTGTTTAAAACATACCCACTAGACCACTTTAACTCACACTAATCATCTTAGTTTTCTTATGACAATTTTATAGCCAAATGCCATGCCTGTACAAAAGCTTAAGGACATAGAAGGTGTTCATAAGCCTGTAAAAAATATTAGATTAAAGATGTGAAGGGAGTTTGTAACAACTTGTTATTGCTTATTGAAAATTATTCAGAGCTTAGTTCCTCTGATTGAACTGCCTGTCTTTAGCCTTGATTGAGTATAATTTAACATGCTTAATTACTGATTACAGTTAGTTTCCTAATAATCAAATATTTGTAGAAGTGGGTGATTATTCCGTTTCTTGAGAGAGTGGGAAATAATGCAGTCAGTGACGAGGATTGACCCCCATAATCTTGCACTAGATCAAAGTCCTAATATGGCAAGTCTGACCACTCGGCAGCCATCTTGGTAATGCATCCAGTCAGTTATTTTGGACTAACAAGATCAGGCTATCTAAATTAATGGGGAGAGAGCTGTAAAAGCACTTTCAATGGTCACTGGGTCATAAAAACTGCATGCAAAGAATCACCAGTAAAATCTGACCGCTAAAAAGGTTTCATGACTTTTCCCCAAAGTAAGGTTTGAAAAGCCTTTTCCACAGAAGTAATGCTATGCATGCGCAAGGTTTCACGACACCAATTTCATTTATGGCTCTATCCAGTGGGCCAGTGACATGACGCCATGAGCTCATCAACATTTGCAAACCTCAACTGTGCACTTGTCAATGGAACCACACGGTTGGCTTAATATGTTTCCCGGCTCGGATATTAAAAAGCAGACAAAATTTAGGGATACTGTATGTCTACACAAGCTCCATCTTTGGCATAACGGGCTTCCCCACACAATTCTATTCAGGATTCTTTGAGTGGAGTGGCATTCCCTTAAATTGTCTCTGACTAGATATAAGATGGGGTGTTGAGTGACAACCAGGATAAGTTGACCTTTTGCTTTGCTCTTTTGTTCGCTGCCATCCCACTGTGAGTGGAAGTCAAGACCTTGCCACCGCAGATGGACAGGGGAGGGGTGTGATGATAGAGGTGAAAAATACAGTGGCTGTAGAAAAGAGAAAGGGATGAAGATGGGGGGGGGGGGGGGGGGGGGATAATCATGATCAAGACCTGAATAAACATAACCGGACAAAAGAAGAGCAGGAGGAGAGTTCAGGCAGGACCGAGAAAGAGGAGAAGAGAAGAGGAGAAATGAGCATAGTTGTTGCAGCGTCATGTTTGTCCTTATTTGGCTTCCTTTGTCCTTGCACTGGGGGGACATACATTAATGAGGATGTCACACAGATACCATGCACACACAAACACTCAGCGATTCAGTCCTCCAACGCTCTTATCGTTTAAAGATGACAGCTCAAGGCAGGCTGGATATACCGCTTGACCACACAACTGGCAGATGCCGTTCTATTTATAGGCCCTAGCAACTGGAGAGAATGAATAGGTCGATTTCAACACCAGGAGCTAGAACTCAGAAGAATATATATCTTTTGCGTACTGATGCCTGCCCTGATGTTTTTTGATGCTATCAGCTTGCAATACGGTCAAAGAAAACCAAAGCCATTGCAACAGCCCCACCCCTTATTTACTGCATTTACCCTTCAGTTCTTGTACTTATAGAGATCAAGAAAAGGCAATGGCAAAGATGTCATGTCAAATCATGTCTTGTTTTAATTATACCCTGTTCTCTGGGAACGAATGTTGTGATGACTCCCATAATGTGGCTGTGCACAATATAAGTGCTGCAATTCTGATCAATTTAACCATGAATGTCTCACTTATATCCGTCAGTCATCATTCAGAAGAGCTAGTCTGGGTCTCAAGTTTCACAACGTTTCCACAGCCTGTATGGGAAGGCAACAGTGTCACACACACACAGTGTCCCATTTACATCTTGGACAATACAAAGTTGAATGAAAGGTAAAATATGTCTAAGGAATGACATAACCGAATCAGGTTGTGGCAACTTTTAAAAAAGAATGTGCTTTTTGACTGGTTTCTTATACATCTTGAGATTTGCACCCCAGATTTTCTTCCCACCTTGGTTTAAAAGTAAAAGTTTGTCCTCAAGGGCAGATAAGTACCCATACGAACAAAGCTTTTATAACCTTTTCTGTCTTGCTTTTTATTCAAAGGAAGTGGCAGAAAGGGGACAGCAAAGCGGCCACCTTGTTGTGTGATTATGTAAATCCGAACTTGTGCATATTTCAAGAAAAGTTTAGCCTGTGAGGTGGATTTCTTTTCTCTCCTTTTTTTATTTTTTTGCTGTCGTTGCTCAGAGGATGTGAGCGTTCCATTTTAAAGGACTGGGATGGGATGGGTTTGAACCATACTGTACATTTGGGATTTTCCTACCATTAAATCATTTTGGGGACAGACACAATTATGTAAACACCTCATATAAAGACACTCTAATGCACCATAAGACATGTTTCTGCTAACTGGCATTAAATCTATTGTTACCCACCTTTTCTAGCAGTGACTTTAAGATCTTTTTTTTATGAGGCATTCACATAGTTTTGTCAAACCCCTGCAGCTTCTCATTTAATAAAAAAAAAGAAAAAACGTTTAGAACAAAGCAGGTAGAAAACACAGCCATCTGGCCACGGTTAGGGGAAGTAGTTTCCTTCTCCTATATTGAGCAGTGATTTGTTGAGTGTTCTGTCCCACTGAGTCCTCTTCACACACTACACCACTAGTGACCCTCCATTTTCATCTAACCCCTGCCAAGGTAACGTCAAGGAGGATTTAATTCTTTGCTCTTTCGGTCCCTGTAAGCCAGTAGACTTTAAAGAACTTACAGTGCAATTCTTCTTTCTTTTTTCTCCTTTTCTTTTGCTCAATCTGTAATGACAAAAGTTGAAATAATGGTTCCTTTGAAAGTGTTGGCATGGATAATGTAATATCCTCCATCTGATAGTCTGCTTATGACAAGTCATTACTTGCCATGCTCTAAACGTGATGGAATGTTGCCCTTTCACCATTATTGTCCCAGTGAATTTAGGAATGCTGCATAAATCTTGGTAATGGATTTGTTTGTCTTCTTACCAGCTCTACACAGAAGGGGGACAATCAGGCCATTTTACCTGCCCCTGTTAATTACCCAGTGGTTATTTTAATCCGTCATAAGCTCCCAATGGGCTGTAGAAAGGCCTGCTGGTACCTTAATCAGCTAAGTGATGCAGAGCTATACCTTTCACCATTTAATCCCTTCACAATGTGAAGCCCACTACTCAGAATCCCTGTGGGTTTAACCTTTAGTTGTTTCTCTTTTGTGTTTGACAACTGGTGGTCCGGTTTGTGGTAAAGACAATGTCTAATTCCTATTTAGAGGAACAATTGATAAGAATGCCAGAGTATCACTATTTTCAGCCATTCTGAAATAAAAATAAAGCCGTGATTCCCAATTAAGAGGGCTACCTCTGCAGTAAGACACTAATAAAAAAAAAAACTGTATATATGCACATATTTGAGGGAAATAAAGAGAAATAAACAAAAATAGAATTACAAACTGTTGTAAGGCTGCTCTTCATTATATTTATTTTGTCATCAATCAAAAACTACCAGCTATGATAAGCTGACAGGACACGCCTCCCACTAACCTGAGTCATAAATGACCTGCCTCCTGATGCCCTTTGTGCCATCCCGCTTGGTTCGAGCTTCTGAAAACACGGTGAGAGATGTCCATGTTGCTTCTGGGCTCATGT